TTCTATTGTCACCTTTATCTAGATTCACATAACCTGACACGTTTAACATTCTTAATGTCCATAAGTAAATTAAAGTGCCAAAATGTAAGGTGTCAGTTTATGCGAATCTAGATAAAGGTGACAATAGAATCCAAATGACGGTGCTCCAACAAGTATGGTAGAATTACGCACTCACCAGATGCGTAACGTAAATACGCATCGTATAAATATGTAGAGGGTCCCCTGGAGTAGGATCCTATCCATTGCCTTAAGGAGACCTCTACATATTTATACAATGCGTATTTACATTACGCATCTGGAGAGTGCGTAATTCTACCATACTTGGAGCACCATCATTTGGATGCTATTGTCACCTTTATCTAGATTCACATAAACTGACACCTTACATTTTGGCACTTTAATTTACTTATGGACATTAAGAACGTTATATATGTGTTTTAGCGCTGCGCCCTTTTTATTTGTTATACGATTTTGAAGGTATTTATTGGTTGCCTTTGGTGCTATAGCTGCTGATTTTAAGAGCACTCGCTTTTCTTTCTAGTCTTATACTGATAATTAAGGACTAGGGCAGGAAAGGTCGACTGGTCCATAAAACATTGTGTTCACAGATCAATAACTTTATTGTTCACCAAACATTACAATACACATAAAAGACACGTGACACATACATTAAGGCTCCATACACACGGGGCGTTTTAATAACGCTGGCAACGTTAGCTGTGTAAAGTCGCGTTAAAAACGTGAGGTTTTCAGCATTTTTTATTAGCGTTTAGACACGTTTTTTCGGGATTTTTTTTTTTACCCAGAAAAATAAAAAAAAATTGGGGGTTAAAAAAAAGTCCAAAAACGCAGGTTTGCTGCGTTTTTCAGCATTAGAGTGTTTTTACAGCTACAAAACTCCTCTAGAAACCCACTAGATCTAGTTTTTCCAGCCAAAAAAAAATGACAATTACAGTCTGTGTGCGGACACATAGGATAACATGCTGGGTGTAGGAAAAAAAAAAAAACCCATCAAAAGCCAAAAAACAGCCGCTGTAAAAATGTCCCGTGTGCCTGAGGACTTATAATAGCGGCAATATATGACAAGTGTACAATCCAAACGCACGCGTTCCTGCATTAAAAATGGCGGTATGTATAAGTGGGTGCTGCAGCGACCGTCGGCTGGGACGGAACAGAATCAGCGAGGGGGAATGTCACCAGCACACCGAGGATCACCAATACGGGTCCAAACGTTTTAATGAACGATCACATAGTTACAGCAAGGCAACGTTTTGGAGTCTCGCAGGACTCCTTCATCAGGCATGTGGTCACAAGGGGTCCTGAGAGACTCCGAAACGTTGCCTTGCTGTAACTATGTGATCGTTCATTAAAACGTTTGGACCCGTATTGGTGATCCTCGGTGTGCTGGTGACATTCTCCCTCGGCAATTTATGACAGACACATAAACCAAGGGAATCCCCCTTACAGAACAGAAATGTGGCTTTTACATCGTAAAGGGGAGACCTCTAACCATATTTCCATCCCAGCAACCAATGGGCTTCTCTGTTTCCTTTTGCCTAGGCAAATTATAACATGGAAGAAAGGCACCGATTGGCTGCTGGGAGGAACTTGCAGCCGGTTCTCCAGTAAGACATCTCACACCCGATGCCTTCATTTTAAATGCATCAAACTGTCGGCGGCTTGTCTCTGATTGGCCGCTGTAATTAAGGCTGGCCCTGCGGTGACAACGCGCAGTCTATTCGATGCTCTGGAAATATCCTCACGATTTCTTTTCTCCACAGACAAGGCATTTCCTGTCTGCCGTATAGACAAAATAGATCAACAAGAATGGCAAAGACGGCCATTAATCTGACTCCTCCTCCTCTTCCTCCTCCTCGCTCGCTCTCCTCCTGCAGACAAAAACACACTAAGGAGTTGTTCCCAGGACGGTCTTATTGCAGTCTCTAATAATCCCAAACTCACAAGGGAGATATATAAATGTGTCACCTTCCAGCCCCCGTCTGACAGTCAGATATTGTTTTCATATGTTATAGAAGGATTCTTACAAGCCGCATTTCCTCCACACCGACATTCATACACACCAATTCTGCACACTCCTCTCCTGGGCTGCTTCATACAAGCCGATATATTACACTTTAACCTTTAGTATATTTGTACTTCAACCTGGTGCTTCGCTATAAAGTGCTAACCATATCTTCAATCAATTATGCGTTATCAAATCAATCCCCTGATGACGTCTTAACTTACGAAACGCGTTTGGCGGAGCTTCGTACACTACGTCACTTCCAGGGACCCATCTAAGCTTAAAGTGACATTAACCACCTCCCGACCGGCCGTTGTATATAAACGGCTGGACGGTGGCAGTGCAGGGGCGGGTGGCCATTTATAAACGGCCTCCCTGCCCCCTGCATGTGCACGCTTCCTGGGAGCACGCAGCACCGTGATCCGGTGCCCACTGTGTCCTCCGGACACAGTGGAACACCGATCGTCGTACAGGACCTCTGTGTGAGGTCCCGATCATGTGATCACTGATTGGCCAATCAGTGATCACATGCAGAGTAGTAAGCTAGATGTCACTTCTGTCATCATTGCTTACTATGTGTGAAATCTGTGAATGATCACAGAGGTCACATGGTACAGGGCTATTCACAACAGCCTTGTACCATGTGACAAACTGTGACCAATCACAACTCACACAGTATTTCTCAATGGCTGCAGGAATGCAGTCAGAGAGGAGAACTGATTGCTTTTACAGCCTTTATGGGTGTAAAAGCAATCAGTGTAAAAAAAAAAAATCTTCATCATCCACCCCCACAAGTAGTACAGTGTCACCATGGTGACACTGTACTGTTAGGGTGACAGTATGTAAAAAAATAAATAAATAAATAAAAAAATATATATATAAAAATGTAAAAAAAAAAAATGTTTAAAAATGATAATTTTTGGTTATAAACTAATATGAGTTATTTTTTTTTTTTACTAAAAAGATAAATGAATAAATTTTGGCCAAGATTTATGATGAAATATTATTTATTTGCAAAATTTTATAAGAAAAAACACTTTTTTCAAAAGTTTTTGACTTTTTCATTTATATAGCAAAAAAAATAAAAATCCCAGTGGTGAATAAATACCACCAAAATAAAGTGTTATGTCTCAAAAAAATGCTCTAAAACATTAATATGGGTACAGTGTTGCATGACCGCGCAATTGTCATTCAAAGTGTGATAGCGCTGAAAGGGGGTGAAAGTGTCCGGACTGGAAGGGGGGGGAAAGCGTCCGGACTGGAAGGGGGGAAAGCGTCCGGACTGGAAGGGGGGGAAAGTGGGGGAAGGGGGGGGGAAAGCGTCCGGACTGGAAGGGGGGGAAAGCGTCCGGACTGGAAGGGGGGGAAAGCGTCCGGACTGGGGGGGAAAGCGTCCGGACTGGAAGGGGGGGGAAAGCGTCCGGACTGGAAGGGGGGGAAAGCGTCCGGACTGGAAGGGGGGGAAAGCGTCCGGGAGGGGGGGAAAGCGTCCGGACTGGAAGTGGTTAACGGATGGACTTATTTAATGCATTTCATTGTCAATGCACTTTATAATATTGCACATTGATATGACAGCACGTTTTTAGCACTTTATTATAGTCTATTTTTGCAGTATTGCATACGATTAGCACTTTTATTGTATATTTGTGGTTGCACACGATTGCATATGTTTTGAATTTGATAACACGTGATTGAATGAATATATGGTTAGCACTTTATAGTGCAGCACCAGGTTTAAAGTATAATATATTGGTAGTATTGTCCATGTGGACAGCAGGAGGTGCTTAGCGGATGTAGTCCAGCAATTGTGATACCATCCCTGAGCGCAGAGTCTAGTGATCTAATATAAGCCACTAACCCATTCTCCTCCACCTACGATGAATCATACATACCCCTCATGTACCCCTCTACTGTGACACTTTATAAAACACAACTTTCCCATATCCTTCCACTATAATGCTTCCCTCCCTCTAAAAAGCATGGAGTCGGCAGAGTACCCTCCCCCAAACAAGCAGGGAGCCTGCAGATCCCCCTCCCCCTAAAAAGCATGGAGTCCCCAAATCCCCCTCTGCCTTAACAAGCATGAAGTCTGAAGCTAAACCCCCGCCCCAATAAGCATGGAGTCTACAGACCACCTCCCTCCTTCTAATAAACATGAAGCCTGTAAGCCCCCTCCCTCCTATGAAGCATGGGGGTTTATTTACTAAAGCTGGAGAGTCCAAAATCAGACTCCCTTCTGCATAGAAACCAATCAGCTTCCAGGTTTCATTGCCAAAGCTTCATTGAACAAGCTGAGGTTAGAAGCTGATTGGTTTCTATGCAGAAGGGAGTCTGATTTTGGACTCTCCAGCTTTAGTAAATAAACCCCATGGTGTCTACAGATCACCTCCCTCCCTCTAGCAAGCATGGAGTCTGTAGGCCCCCTCCCTCCTACGAAGCATGGAGTCTGTAGGCACCCTCCCTTCTAACAATCATGGAGTCTGTAGGTCCCGTCCCTCCTAAGCAGCATGGATTCTACAGACCACCTTCCTCCTTCTAGCAAGCATGGAGTTTGTAGAGCCCCTCCCTTCTAAAAGGCATGGAGTATGTAGTCCCCTCCCTTCTAACAATCATGGAGTCTGTGGGCCCTCTCCCTCACAACCAGCATGGAGTCTGTAGGCCCCTTCCCTCCTAACCAACATGAAGTCTGTAGGTCCCGTCCCTCCTAAGCAGCATGAAATCTACAGACCACCTCCCTCCCTCTAGCAAGCATGGAGTCTGTAGGGCCCCCCTCCCTAAAAGGCATGGAGTCTGTACACAAGCATGGAGTCTGTAGGCCCCCTCTCTCCTAACAAGAATGAAGTCTGTAGGCCCCCTCCCTCCTAACAAGCATGGAGCCTGTAGGCCCCCTCTCTCCTAACAAGCATGGAGCCTGCAGGCCCCCTTCCTCCTAACAAGAATGGAGTCTGTAGGCCCCTCCCTCCTAACAACCATGGAGTCTGTACCTCTTCAGCCTCCTGTTCCTCTGCAGGAAGCTGTGATTCTTGCTGCTCCTCCTCCGTTTCGCTTTCCTGTGCAGTTTGTGATAAGATCTCTTCTCACCCTAAATACAGAGAAGCCCCTTGGTAGTGAATAGCAGATAAATAAAGGGTGGCTGGTACTGATTGCAGTACCTCCCAGCTCTCACCTGGAGGTCTCTGTTCTTCAGGTTTCCCAGCCAGAAGGCCTCTTGACAATTGTTCAGCGTCAACATGGCCTTCACTCTGTACACAAACATTTCCAAGGTCTTCTTTAAGAGAGGGACGTGTGTGGTGAGCCCGGCATCCTGGTGGATCTGAGGAGGAGGGATAAAGTCCAGCTAACACACCAGACCATGGAGGCTTCGGCCAGTACCAGGACCAAATGGTGCAGAACGGCACCTGGCAGAATTTCACAGACGGGAAGACAAGACAGAACACGTACCTTGGAGTGACCACACATGTGGTGAAGCTGCCGGGTGCAGAGCTGCAAGATTTTCAGCATGTTTTGTGCATCATCCTGTAAGATACAATAATAGAAGTTTTGTACTTACTGCAAAATCCTGTTTCTTGTGGTTTTACTACCACATACAGGAGGCTGGGAAACTGGCAAACTGAAAAAAAGCAAGCCAGCCCCTGTATAACACCTCCTCCACCCAGAATGCCTCAGTTTTGTGAGAAAGAGATATAGACATAGAAAAACACAAATAAGTGAGATATGTGTCCGATGGACTTCAAGTAGATTTTACAGTAAGACCATTGAGGGACACAGAAATTCTATTACAGTCAGAATGTTCAAGGAGCAATCAAACATTCGGGGTTGGGAAATAGCCACTCCATGCTTGTTAGTTGGGAGGGGGCCTACAGACTCCATGCCTTTTAGGAAGGAGGGGCCCTACAGCCAATAGTCCGGTAAAAAGATTTGGGGACCATCCGCATGTCAAAGGTTGCTGAAGGAACCAACTCTCAAATCAAGGGCAGATAAGGAGACGCTCCTTGCAAAGTGGAGTAACTTCCACCACTACGGGGAGGAGAGAAGGTCTACCTGGCGTTCCAGAGCAGGCCAGAGAAACAATGGCCAAGGGAAAATTCCTGACTGAAAGAGCAACAGGCCCCTACCAATGAGTCTAGAAAACAGACCAGCAATTCACCAAGAAAACAGGTGGAAACACACTATTCAAAAGGGTGTAAACAAACCAACAACCTTTAAGGTCAAGGATAGAAAAGAGGAGGAGGAGGAGAAAGAAAGAGGAGGCGAAAGAAGGAGGAGGAGCAGGAAGAGGAGGGGAGGAGGAGAAAGAAGGAAGGAGTAGGAGGAGGAGTAACGCGAAGAGAAGGTCCAAGAAGAGAAGGTACTATTAATCCTAAAAGCAGGGCAAGAGGTCCCATAATGAGGAAAGGGCTTCCTAGCCATGCAGCCATTCTTGTAAAGCGACAGCAAGTTGTGAAAGGCCTCACAACATATAATTTCAATGGATAAACCATAGAACCCCCCCAGGCCTGGGTGCCCTAAAGGGTCCTCAACTCCGTTGAGGTATGAGGGGCAGTAATTTCAGACCCCTTACTAGCAGCACTGGGTTTATTGGGAGCAGGAAGAAGGAAGGAAACAGAATTAGTGTTCTCAAGAGGCTGCAGAATAGTTATTAATGAAGGACCCAGCTCCTGGTGATCAGGTGCCATGGAGTTTTTCAGAACTGTGCTATCCCCCACGGGGGGTACTTGCAGATGGAACATAGCCCAAACTACTCACGGATTATCCCAGGAGAACATAGGGCCATCCATCAATATGTGCTTCCTGCCAAGCAGAAAAGGAGGAGCACATAGGTGCTATACATTCATGTCTCAGATGAGGAGACCAAGAACCACCATCGAAAGGAGAGTTCCCAAACTGTCGCAGAGGAGAAGGTCCTGTAGCACTCAAGAGACGTCACATGGAGGTCCTGTCAGAACACAAACTCAGAGAAGGCTTTCTTGATAAAGTGGAATTTGCCTGTCCTGGTGAACCAAAGTAGCGAATGTAGAGGCTCGGGCTTAGTTTGGTTTTAAGGATCAGAGGCAGACTCAACTGGAGATGGCACCTGAGCAGCCAAGGGCCTCTGCAGGCGGGTTGTCGCAGCACCTGGGCACAAACAACAGACAAGGGAGGTCCCTGCAAATATGAGCGAGGCCTTGACCTTTTCAACAGAATTGTAAGAGACTCCAATAAAGAGGACCTAGGCACAAAATGAGTCTCAGGTTCTAAATTGCAGCCGTTCCTTCAAAGGATAAAGGAAAAATTCCCCCTGAAACACTGGTGGGTGAGGGTGAAACCATCGTCTGTCTCTTAATGAAGATACTTTACGATGTGTCCACACAGTGTTTATTGCAATTAGACCCAAAGTGAGGCAAGGCCTTAATATACACAAACATGGGCAGCAAGAGCTGATGAGGATTTCAGGTGGTCAGAAGTAACAAAGTCACTGTAGGAAAGCAGTGAAGAGCAATCAGAGACCAGAGAAATCGCAGTGTACGCCAGGAGTAGGAAAAGCAGTGGAATAGTGCTGCCTCAAGATGGATTATGGGTGAGAAATGTGAAGGGCGGGTGCACACAGATGGAATATGGGTGAGAAATGTGAAAGGCGAGAGCACACAGATGGATTATGGGTAAGACCTGAGAAAGGAGGGAGCACACAGATGGATTATGGGTGGTGAGACCAGATGAAAAGGGTGAGAAATGGAAAGGCGAGAGCACACAGATGGATTATGGGTGAGACCTGAAAAAGGAGGGAGCACACAGATGGATTATGGGTAAGACCTGAGAAAGGAGGGGCACACAGGAGCACTGAGAAAGGGAGAGATGGATGGATTTTCACTGAGGTACGAGAATGGTGGAAGCACGCTGGAGGATTATGGGTATTTTCTAACAATGTCAGAGAACAGTGCGCTGTCTTCCATCTCACCTTGTGCTTCTTGAAGCCGCAGTCCAGGAGAGGCATACCCACTTTAAGAAATGTCTCCACAAAGAGGCGCCCATACTGCAGACAAAACAGAGGTGAAGAAGGTCATCATATCACCTCATTGTTAGTACATGAAGGAGAAGGGACAAGCGATCCCACTTACCTTTAGACAAATGCTTAACATTGGCCGTGTGTCAAACACCTACGGAACACAATAGTGACAGGAGATGGATGAGTGGAAGGGACACTCAGCAATACAGAGGATTGGAGAAGACACGTATCTATACAGTGTTTGTGTGTTATACACAGCATACCACATGTGCAACCGTCTGCCTGGTCTCTATGTGACATGCACCATACATGAAACATGTAGCCCTGGTCTCGGTGTCACATACACAGAGGGGTTTATTTACGAACGCTGGAGAGTGCAAAATCAGGCTCGCTGCTGCATAGAAGCCAATCAGCTTCCAGGTTTTATTGGCAAAGCTTAATTGAACAAGCTGAGGTTGGATGCTGATTGGTTTGTATGCAGCAGCGAGCCTGATTTTGCACTCTTCAGCTTTAGTAATAACCCCCCTTGTCTGTGTGTTGTGTGCATTGTACATAAAACCCCTGGACCTCATCTGTGTGTTGCATGCACTGTACAGCCTGGGCCTCGTCCATGTGTTACATGCATTGTGCATGAAACCCCTTGGCCTGGTCTGTGTGTGTTGTGTGAACTGTACATGAAACCCCTGGACCTCATCTGTGTTGTGCACGCACTATGCATGTACCCCTGGACCTCATCATGTACCCCTGGACCTCATCTGTGTTGTGCACTATGCATGCACTATGCATGTACCCCTGGACCTCATCTGTGTTGTGCACGCACTATGCATGTACCCCTGGACCTCATCTGTGTGTTGCATGCACTATGCATGTACCCCTGGCATCATCTGTGTTGTGCACGCACTATGCATGTACCCCTGGACCTCATCTGTGTTTGCACGCACTATGCATGTACCCCTGGACCTCATCTGTGTGTTGCACGCACTATGCATGTACCCCTGGACCTCATCTGTGTGTGTTGCACGCACTGTGCATGTATACCCCTGGACATCATCTGCGTGTTGCACGCACTGTGCATGTACCCCTGGACCCCATCTGTGTGTTGCATGCATTGTACCTAAAACCCCTGGGCCTGGTCTGTGTGTTGTGCGCACTGAACATGTCAACCCCACGGGTCCTCATCCGTGTGCGACATGCGCGGTACGTGTACCTCACCTTGATCAGGTTGACCAGGATGTGGAAATTGCGGACTGCCAAGCTCCACTGTAGAAGACGTTCAGCCTGAACCTGGAAGAAATACAACAACCCCCCCCGAGATGGGATGAGACATGGAAGTACATGATCTGCACACAAAGCAGAGATCTACACACACCTGCAGGCTGTCCGACTTTTTTTCCAACTGGAATATTCCTCACATACTTTTCTAGCTTGTCCATCAAGACTCGGAAATACACCACAAAGGTTTGTCTGCAAGAAGAGAAATGGACAAGATGAGCGGGATGAGCACAGTTCCGGTATGAAGCGTATAAAACGCCACAATCACTCCATAGACAAGACAAACCACGCTGTGTCATGTGACCAGAACATTAAAGTGGTTATAAAGCCTAAACATTTTATACCTTAATACATTACTTGCATTACGATAAAAAATGTTTAAGTAGTAGTAACCCCCCGCCCCCCCGCATGTACTTAGCTGAGCCCTCACTTGATCCAACATTGTGCCCATATGCAGCGGCTTTCTCCGCTCATTTCCTGGTCTCACTGGGTTTGCTGAGGCAGTGGGAACCATTGGCTCCTCGTGCTGTCAATCAAAGCCAATGATGAGGGAGCAGGCGGCGGTTACGAACCGTGTTCTCTGCGTCTATAGGCGCAGGCCACGTGGCTTTGGAGCGAGCCCACGTGTGCCCCAAAAGCAAGTGGCTTGCTTTGGGGGCACTCGCAAAAGAGGAAGAGCCAGGAGCGCCGATGGGGGACCCAAGAAGAAGAGGTTCGTGAAAGTGTCCCGACTGGAAGGGGGCGAAAGTGTCCCGACTGGAAGGGGGGGAAAGTGTCCCGACTGGAAGGGGGGGAAAGTGTCCCGACTGGAAGGGGGCGAAAGTGTCCCGACTGGAAGGGGGCGAAAGTGTCCCGACTGGAAGGGGGGCGAAAGTGTCGGACAGGAAGGGGGGGAAAGTGTCCGGACTGGAAGGGGGGTGAAAGTGTCCGGACAGGAAGGGGGGTGAAAGTGTCCGGACAGGAAGGGGGGGAAAGTCTCCGGACAGGAAGGGGAGGAAAGTGTCCGGACAGGAAGGGGGTGAAAGTCTCCGGACAGGAAGGGGGGGAAAGTCTCCGGACAGGAAGGGGAGGAAAGTGTCCGGACAGGAAGGGGGGGAAAGTGTCCGGACTGGAAGGGGGGTGAAAGTGTCCGGACAGGAAGGGGAGGAAAGTGTCCGGACAGGAAGGGGAGGAAAGTGTCCAGACAGGAAGGGGGGGAAAGTGTCCGGACTGGAAGGGGGGTGAAAGTGTCCAGACAGGAAGGGGGGGAAAGTGTCCAGACAGGAAGGGGGGAAAGTGTCCGGACTGGAAGGGGGGGAAAGTGTCTGGACAGGAAGGGGGTGAAAGTGTCCAGACTTGAAGTGGTTAAAGTATGAACCATTGGACAACACTGTGCCATGTGACAAGAGCACGAGCTGCCAGATCCTGATACATCACCTGTTTAGGGTTGGATAGGTGGAGGAATGTCCATCTTTCGTGGTGTTCGTCAACTCTGACACGCCAACACTGCAGATGTCTTCCACGGCTTTAAGGACATCTGTGTACTGCAGGTATATCCTGGAAGATAGGACAGATCATTTACAGCTTAGACCCATAAAAGAAGATTTTTTTTTTTACTCACCGTAAAATTCTTCTTCAAGTTAATCCATTGGGGGACACAGCAGACGTCTGATATAAGCACCCCCCCCCCCAGGATGGACACAACCGGTGGATGATTCACAGGCCCAGGAAGGACAAGGTCTGGTCTGGAGGAAAGGTTTGGTCCTGGAATCAGAGCATTGTGACTTGTCCTCCTGTGGGTGACGTGTTGCATAACCCAAAAGGGTAGGAGCTTTTCTGCCTTTACTTTATGGCCAACCTGCCAAGGGTGGGGCTGTTATTGGATCACCGTCTGACCTTTACCGCTTGACCTCGGAAGGTTTTATCCCCTACATGACCAGGGCATTTTTTCCTATTCCACACTGCCCAACTTTAACTGGCAATTGCGCGGTCATGCAACACTTTACCCAAATGGAATTTATATAATTTTTTTCAGACAAATAGAGCTTTCTCTTGGTGGTAGTTGATCACCACTGGGTTTTGAAGATTTTGAAACCCCGCCCCCCCCCCCCCCAATATTTTTACAATCAGAAAAATGAAAGATAAACGATCAGATAAATTATACTGACACTGCACAAGTTCTGTCAGTGATCGGGGCTGATCCTGTTAATGCTGCGTTTTTGGGGACACTAAATTATTGGAGACGCTAGTATAGTTATGTCCATAGGTACATAGTTAGTCTGGCTGAAAAAAGACAAAAGTCCATCCAGTTCAAACCAAAGAAAAAAAAAAAAAAAAAAAAGTTATAATCCTATACGCACAGTTGATCCAGAGGAAGGCAAAAAAAAAAACCCAGCAAAGCATGAACCAATTTGCTCCTGCTGGGAAAAAAATTCCTTCCTGATCCCCCGAGAGGCAAATCGGATATTCCCTGGATCAACTGTACCTATACATGGCCAGGATACTGATCCGGACAGATGCTATAATAATAATGGCAGTGATCAGTGGCTTATAGTGGGATTGTGATAGTGTGGCAGGCAATCAGGGACTGGCACTGGCTGGGAGGGACACTGACTCTGACGCTAATACAGTGATCAGTGATAATACTGTACACTGTCACTGTACTAAAGACACTGGCTGGATGACAGGGGTGATAAGGAGGGCAATCAAGGGGTTAACTGTGTGCCTAACATGTGTATGTGTGCTGATTTTACTCACATGCTGGCTGGCTTTTCTCCCTGATCTCAGCTCTGAACAGTAAGCGAGATCAGGAAGAACCACCAGCCAGATCTGTGTTTACTAACACACTGATCTCTGTGCTGTGATTGGCCACAGCTGCCAACAGGTTCACAGACAAAATCATTGGCTGTGATACTGCTGACAAACTCATGCTCTGTCCAACCACAGCACGAGCAGCAGGGGGTGCGAGCGCCTGTAAACACTCAGAATTGTCAAGGTCCTGTCCGCAGAAGTTCTGGAAGATCTGGCATTTCTGCCAGTACTCTGCATGGCCGCAGAAGTACACATCAGCCTCAGTTTGGTGCCAGACGGCCTTTATAAGGAGGCTCATCACTTCAAGTTGCTGGATGATTTCAAGTTGCTGGATGATCTCTAGCTCCGCGTGCCCTGTTCCCTGTGATTCTGACCTGTGATTTCCTGTTACTGACTCGGCTTGCTCTTGGATCTGTCTACTCTGCCTTACCCCTGATCTGACCTTGGCTTGGCTTACGGATACTTTCTCTCTCGCTCCTCTGTGTATGACCTCGGCTATCCCATCTGACTACGTCTGCTCTGATTCCCACCTGGTACCTGACCTTGGCTTGAACTGACTACCCAGTAAACATCTAAATCCCTGAAGGGCTTACATACCACGTACAGGAGCCTCCTGTCTGCAGACCTATCTCCGTGCACCAGCTGTGCTTCTGAGTGGACCACCAACCAGCACTCCTACAGGTGACCTGTGCAATTTTGGGCCTGACTCCTCCTATCCCACTCTCAGGGGAGTCTGGAAACTTAGCCGCAAGGGAAGCCCTCTCTCCATTGGCCTCCATCACCAGGTACGTCATAGGAAGTCTCCCAGTGACGTACGGGTACGTTGTGGGGGAACAACAGTGCCGCCGGACAGCAGTAAAAGTTCAACTACTGGTTGACAAGTGGTTACTAAACATTTAAAGAAATCATCTAGCTGAAAATGATGCTGTATTATTGTTATTCGTAGGGAATAATATTCATACCCCAGAGTGACCAGTGCCCGGCTGCTACCTCCAATAGCCTTTATATATTATTTCAGCATGCAGGATGTTCTGTGGAAATCACAATGTCTCCTCCCTTCACTCACCACAGTAGGCTCTGTAGGTTCTCATTAAATCGTATTCCCTTCTCACGCTCACCATTGGGCTGTACCCAGGACTGGCACAGGAAACGTTTCACAATAGAAGCTGTTTCGGTGAAAGATCACACAGGGTTACACACATGCGCAAAAGATCAGGCAGTATAGCTGAGATGTCAGGTTGTGGACATTATACCTATCTTGCTGTGATACGGAAGGGCATCAGTCTTCTGTGCCAGGCTGATCAGTAGCTGTGTAAGGCACAGGGCGCTGCGGATGCTCGGGACACTGCTGCAAAGGTTCTGCAGGTAGCTGAAACTGTGGCTGGGGGTAAAAGTGGAGGAGAGCAATGAATTCTGGGAAGCCGTAGATCTGTCAGTCACACAGTGTATTAGGATCTTCTTACCTGACCAGCTCTTCTATCGTCAGCTCTGAGTCCTTCTCCTTCAGCCTTCCCACCAGGATACCCAGTGCTGCCTTCAGCACAGAGCGGTTCTCAAGCTGAGAGAATCCAGCCCTTAATAAAACAGAGTCATTGCATTAACCGGCCACATGTGCAGCCTTGTATACACAGAGGTCCATGGTTCAGTGACCAATGCCACATCACCATTCATAGACAGTACTATATGTGATATGTATAGTGGAGAGGTGACGAACCAGGCAAAGAGAGCGCATGGAACACCTGAAGCAGCAGCTGGTAGCAGGAGGACATGTAGTGATGTTCCTTCAGGTCTATCCCCAGGGCATCCACTACGCCATTCTTCTCTGTCAGCAGAGTCTGAATTTGAGAGGAAGGAGGACACTGTGCTTAGCACACCACATACCCAACACTGGCATCAGTCTAATCAGGTCAATACAGAGTACTGCGGGCACTCATGACCATGCATGCGCGTTCCCACTGTATACTACAGATCAATGATCAGGTCTGTATAATGACAGATCAATACAGAGTCCGGGCACTCATCCGGGCACTCATGACACTCATGCATGCCGCTCCCACTGTATACTGATCAGATCAATACAGAGAGGCACTCATGACGGGCACTCATGACCAGCATGCCGGGTTGACCAGCAGCATGCCGCCCACTGTATACTGATCAGTCAATACAGAGTACTCGGGCACTCATGACCAGCACGCCCCACCTCCGATCTTAACAACCTACGCCCCACCTCCGATCTTAACAACCTACGCCCCACCTCCGATCTTAACAACCTACGCCCCACCTCCGATCTTAACAACGATCTTAACAACCTACGCCCCACCTCCGATCTTAACAACCTATCTTAACAACCTACGCCCCACCTCCGATCTTAACAACCTACGCCCCACCTCCAATCTTAACAACCTACCCCACCCCCACCTCCGATCTTAACAACCTACGCCCCACCTCCAATCTTAACAACCTACCTCCCCCTTAACAACCCAACCTCCTTAACAACCTACACCCCACCTCCAATCTTAACCTACGCCCCACCTCCTTGCTTCCCTTTTCTTCCAAACTTCTTGAATGCCTGGTACACAACCAACTGAGTAACCACCTCATCAAAAGTGGAGTTCCAGCCATTTTTGTGTTTATTAAAAGTCAGCAGCTATAAAAACTGTAGCTGCTGACTTTTAATAAACACACACTTACCTGTCACGGGGTCCAGCGATGTATTCATCCGGTCCATCCCTTCTCTCCTCCATGGCGCTGGCATCTCAACTGTGGGCACCAGGCTGTGACAGCTTGCAGCTTCACAGCCTGGTGCCCACTGCGCATGCGCGATTCGCGCTGCACCTCCTGATTGGTCCAGCAGTCTTCTGGGACCTGTGAAAGTTCCCAGGAGACTGCAGGAGGAAGGAGGGGGGGCCGAGCTTTCGGCTCACTTCGCCGTGTCAAAACCAGGTACCCCCCCCCCAAAGATGCCAAATATGGCAGTGGAGTGGGGGAGGAGCCAAACAAGCTTCCACTTTTGGGCTTTAAGAATAACCTTCTTGATCCCCTTAAGTCTGGATTTCACCCTCAACCCTCCACAGAAACTGCTCTCCTAAAACTCACAAACAATTTACTAACAGCTAAAAGCAGTGGCCACTATTCCGTACTCCCAACTTCTGGACCTTTTGACTGCCTTTGATACAGTTGACCACCTCTTCCTCCTCAAAAAACTTTACTCCTTTGGTCTCCATGACTGTACTCTTTTTGTTGGTTCTCATCCTGCCTATCCACCACACCTTCAGTGTCACTCACAATTCTACTTCCTCCTCTCCCTTTCTCCATCAGGGTCCCCCAAGGTTCTGTTCTTGGACCTTTCCTATTCTCGATCTACACCTCTTCCCTGGGTCAGCTGATAGCCTCCCTTGGCTTTCAATATCATTTCTACGCTGATAACACTCAAAATCTATCTCTCTACCCCTCAGCTCACTCCGTTAGTCTCTTCATGCATCACTAACTTACTGGCCGACATACTGCATCAGTCTGGATGTCACACCACTTCCACTCCGCCATGTGCCCTTTCCCCTGACTTCTCTGTCAAGATCGATGGTACAACCATCAACCCGTCCAGGGTTCTAGGTTCTAGGCCCCACATCCAATCACTGTCCAAAGCTTGCCAACATCTCCAAAATACACTGCTTCCTAACCAATGACATGGCTTCCTAACCAATGACACCACAAAACTCCTAATTCACTCCCGGGTTATCTCTCGCCTCGACTACTGCGACTCCCTCCTCATTGGTTGACCTTTACATAGACTATCCCCCCTCCAGTCCATCATGAATGCTGCTGCCAAGCTCATCCACCTTACCAACCATTTAGTGTCTGCCACCCCTCTCTGCCAATTCCTCCATTGGCTGCCACTCACCCAGCTAATTAAATTCAAAACACTAACAACAACTTACAAAGCCATCCACAAATCAGCCCCCCCGCTATATCACTAACCTTGTTTCACTCAATACCAGCATTACATATTAGGTAATGAGCTGTAGTTGCTGACCTGGAAATAGTTGTGGGTGTTCTCCATGTGGTTGCACAGAGGGTTCAGCAGCTGCACCACAAATTTTACCACTTCCTGTGGAGTCTTCTGCTGCAGATGAGAGAACTCCGAGTTCCTGGACCCCTTCACCTGGGTAGACGGGAGATTTGAAAGAAGAGCTCTGCTCAGTGTTGCCTACATTTATACTGGCCAGTTACCATAAATTCTACAGTAATGTCAGTTAAACAACAACTCTTTTAGTAAAACACATAATTAGGTTACTGTGTTTCAAAACTTTAATGTTCTCTTTTTGCTTTATCCTAGAACCCTTCAAGTGCACCTGTTATATGTACAGGGTACACTTCCATCTTCCAGGTGGAGCAACCATTCATGATGAAGGCCATGAGGTCAAGAACCAACATTGTCAGATGCAGCTTGTGATGGATAAAATCTGCAGTCCATCCAGGAACGTGGTGAGGGCACACAAGACCCTAGAGAGCCCTCTGAACACAATGAAGCCATCACTTTCCCCTTGAGCAAATTTGCAGTGTATGGTTTACACACCCATCCTGCGGCAGAATGTTTAACTATTTAGGAGCCATTCCCTACCTTCATCAGTGGTGATCTCTTTGCAGCCATGAGGGCATGCTGCATTTTGCGGGAAAGGTCCTCCAGCAGGAATACAAGCTCAGCTGGTCCCAGTTGCACCACCTCTGTGGCCTGTCAATAAACACTTCATAGTCATGAACATGAACCACCTACACAATGCACCACATCACTCATTCTGACCATTACACATTCATCAGTCAAAGTATCCTCTGTGTTTATAGGGTAAACTGAAAGGGACACATCAGCATTTCAGGAGTGTACTATGCCCATACGATGACAGATAAAAGACCTCAGGCACTATACTGACATAGAGGATGTGCAAAAGTTCTGTTTTTCCCATCTAGAAACAGGAAGTTCATTTTTAATCATCAAACAGAAAAGTAAGAAATTAAAGTGTGTTCGTGGTAAAGTTGCCCTTCCTACTTCGCCCTGATTCTTTCACTCTCACCTTGTACAAAGCCCTGATCCTTCCACCGCCACCTTCCTAATGGAGCCCTGATCCTACACAACCTAACCTTCCTACTTCGCCCTGATTCTTTCACTCTCATCTTGTACAAAGCCCTGATCCTTCCACTGCCACCTTCTACAGTAGCTCTGATTCACCCTCACCTTCTACTGGAGCTTTGATCCTACCACCCTCAACTGGAGCTCTGATCCTACCACCCTCACCTCCTAATAGAGCTCTGATCCTGCCAACCTCACCTTCTACTGGAGCTCTGATCCTACCAACCTCACCTTCTACTGGAGCTCTGATCCTACCACCCTCACCTTCTACTGGAGCTCTGATCCTACCACCCTCACCTTCTACTGGAGCTCTGATCCTACCACCCTCACCTTCTACTGGAGCTTTGATCCTACCACCCTCAACTGGAGCTCTGATCCTACCACCTCACCTCTAATGGAGCTCTGATCCTGCCAACCTCACCTTCTACTGGAGCTCTGATCCTACCAACCTCACCTTCTACTGGAGCTCTGATCCTACCACCCTCACCTTCTACTGGAGCTCTGATCCTACCACCCTCACCTTCTACTGGAGCTCTGATCCTACCACCCTCACCTTCTACTGGAGCTCTGATCCTACCACCCTCACCTTCTACTAGAGCTCTGATCCTACCACTCTCACCTCCTAATAGAGCTCTGATCCTACCAACCTCACCTTCTACTGGAGCTCTGATCCTACCACCCTCACCTTCTACTGGAGCTCTGATCCTAACACCGTCACCTTCTACTGGAGCTCTGATCCTAACACCGTCACCTTCTACTGGAGCTCTGATCCTACCACCCTCACCTTCTACTGGAGCTCTGATCCTACCAACCTCACCTTCTACTGGAGCTCTGATCCTACCAACCTCACCTTCCCTCTCAGCTTGTACAAAGCCATGATCCTTCCACCGTCACCTTCTACTGGAGCTCTGATTGTACCACCCTCACCTTCTACTGGAGCTCTGATCCTACCACCGTCACCTCCTAATG